ACAGCTTAGCTCTAAGATACAACCGCATTTGCTCCAGTCCCTCAGACAGAGACAAACACCTACAAGATCTCTATCAAGCATTCTTACAACTACAGTACCCACCTGCTGAAGTGAAGAAACAGATTGACAGAGCCAGAAGAGTACCCAGAAGTTACCTACTACAGGACACGGACCCAACAAAGAAAGTAACAGAACGCCTCTACGCCCGCCACCTTCACGCCCCCAACTGAAACCTCTCCAGCGCACCATCAAGGATCTACAACCTATCCTGAAGGACGATCCCTCACTCTCACAGATCTTGGGAGACAGGCCAGTCCTTGCTTACAGACAGCCCCCACAACCTGAAGCAAATACTCACCAGCAACCACACACCACACAACAAAAACACTAACCCAGGAACCTATCCTTGCAACAAAGCCCATTGCCAACTCTGTCCACATATCTATTTGGGGGACACCATCATAGGATCTAATCACATCAGCCACACTATCAGAGGCTCGTTCACCTGCACATCTACCAATGTGATATATGCCATCATGTGCCAGCAATGCCCCTCTGCCATGTACATTGGCCAAACCGGACAGTCTCTACGCAAAAGAATAAATGGACACAAATCAGACGTCAAGAATTATAACATTCAATACCAATCAGAGAACACTTCAACCTCCCTGGTCACTCAATTACAGACCTCAAAGTCACAATACCCCAACCAAAAAAACTTCAAAAATAGACTCCAACGAGAAAGTGCAGAATTGGAATTAATTTGCAAACTGGACACCATTAAATTAGGCGTGAATAAAGATTGGGAGTGGATGGGTCATTACACAAAGTAAAACCTATTTCCCCATGCTAATTTTCCCCCCCTACTGTTACTCACACCTTGTCAACTGTTGGAAATGGGCCATCCTAATTATTGATACAAAAGTTTTTTTCCCTCCTGCTGATAATTGCTCACCTTAGTTGATTACTCTTGTTACAGTTGGTATGGCTACACCCATTTTTTCATCTATATCTTCCTACTCTATTTTCCACTGCATCCATCCGATGAAGTGGGTTTTAGCCCACGAAATCTTATGCCCAAATAAATTTGTTAGGCTCTAAGATGCCACAAGTACTCCTGTTCTTTTTGCTGATACAGACTAACATGGCTATCACTCTGAAACCTGGCAGAAGAAGAGTGATTTACTGTTTACAACATGCATGACATAACCCAACTATTTAATGAGACCCAACGTATACTCCTGAGGGCCTTCTGTGCCAAATAATCAAAAAATAAAAATTCTATGCACAATATTTTAAAATTCTTCAAAATTCTCAAATTTTGTCAAATAAATGTGGAGGCTCCAGCATGGCATTGGGGAGCACAGGCCACTGGCTGCATAGAGGTGGGAGATCACTGTGCAGCTCTCCCCAGGACACGGACTCAGCAGTGAGGCTGCACCCAACCCTGACACAGCACAAGGACCAGGCCTGGCCCAGAAACACCCCAGGGCCCTGCCCCTCTGTGCAAGATGCACCAGGTGTGGGCAGGCAGGCTCAGCAAGGCAAGATCCAAGTATGGAGAGGCTTAGTGTGGGGGAAATCCAGGTGAGGGTTGAGAGGGTTTTGTGTGGGGCAATCTGGGTGCACGGGGATCTGGATGCACAGGGGAGTCCTGGGTGCAATGTTAATGGGACTCTCCAGGGACGTTCAGGTGATGGTGGTTGGGGCTCAATGAGGGGGGTCTGATGGTGGGGGGGGGGGATAGAGCTCAGCAGGGGGGTCTGGGTGTGGGGAGCTCAGTGGGGGGTCCAGATACTGGGGGAGTGGGGCTCAGTGGGGTGAGGATCCAGGTGCAGCTGGTTGGGTCTCGGTGGGGTGGAGGTCAGGGTGTGGGTGTCTCATCAAGGTGGTCCAGGTGCAGGGGGAGTGGGGCTCAGCAGGAGGGTTCTGAGTGTGTGGGGTGAGGCTCGGCAGGAGGGCCAGGGTATGAGGGGGTCTGGATGCCCAGGGGAGCAGCTCCCTGTACAGGGATCCCTCCCCCTGCAGCTGAGGAGCGATGGGTGCAGCAGGAAGCGGGGACTTTGCAGAGCTTTCTGCAGCCGGGGGAGAAATCTGGGTCTGACCCAGTCCTGGATGCTGTGCAGGGGAAGAGGAAGTCCCATCCTCCCCAGCCCAGCCAGGTCTAGCAGCTGAGCCCGGTGCAGAGTAGGAGCCACCAGCTGGGTCTTCTCCAGTCCTGCCTCCTGACCCACAGTGAGTTACCTCTCTGCCTGCTGCCCTGGGCCCACAAACCAT